CTGCCGCGGGCGGCGTCGTGCACCGTCTGCTGGTCAGTTTCAGTAGCGGCTGAATCAGGATGCCTGGGGAAGAGCAGCTGGGGTGCTGCTGGGTTGCTCCAGTAGCTCCGAGGAGCAGCCGCGCTACTGGACCAAGCCAGCAGCACCCGAGCTGCTCTGCCCCAGGCGCCCCAAAGTCAGCCGGCACCCCAGCAGCTGACTACAGGAAGCCCAAGGCAGAGTTGCTCTGCCCTGGGCTTCCTGGAATCAGCTGCTGATCAGTTTCAGCAGCAGCTGACTTGGGGACGCCTGGTGTTCTTATCTTGAATCTGTATGTAAGTGGAACTGGTGTCCAGATTCAGCTGCTGTTGAAACTGATCAGTTTCAGCAGCGGCTGATGCCAGTTCCGACTTACATACAGATTCAACTTAAGAACAAACCTACAGTCCCTATCTTGTACGTAACCCGGGGACTGCCTGTATTTGCCCCACTTCTATGCCTTACTCCTGAATTTCAGTGTTACTCCAACCACTGGAAATCTTCCGCAAGTTAAAATGCACAGACTAACTAGTCACAGGCGTATTGCCAAGCATTTCATACCTCACCTCATCATTTTCAGATTTATGCATAGGGTTTTGCTGCAGAATAGCTCCAGTGCTCCACAGACTCTGAAGAACTCTGTCAATATTTCAGTGAGTAATAGAAATAATGAGCAACAACGACTTGGTGACCTTTTAAACACATGACTGAGTTAGTGCTCCTTACTCAGAAAACCACAGATAGTGTGTCTGTCAAGCATACCTTGTAATCCAACATTCACCCAATGCACAATCAGGCATAATTCAAGGTTTTTGAGATTATGAACGTCCTATTTAGGAGGGTGGGGGCGTCTGCAAAGCTTTTCCTGTAATTTAAATTTAAAGAGGCACCCTCCTCACCAAGGGGGAAGATTTTCTAAGAACCAGGATAGTCAGGGCAGAGTGGCAAACTGTACTCCCTATACAAGGAGCCCTATTTAAAGTCTCTATCCCCTCTTCCTTCCTTAGCAAAACTGACCCTTATAATGTCTGACTCAAGCTAGGGGCTTGTGATATTTCAAAGGCATCAATCGGGGCTACAGCTTTTCCTCTATTGGGGGGCCCAGCAGGCCAAGGAGCGGGGTTGACTAAGCAGAGGGCACTCCGGGCAGGTGACTACCACCACCGGCGCGGCGCATCGCGAGGGAGTTGCGGAAAGGAATTGCAATGATAGCCCGTGCTCCGGGGCCCGGCCCAGGAGGTTCCCGGCACCCACGCCTGGGGTGGCTCGTGTCCCTTTATCATTGCTCCACGCTGCGGCGCCACGCTGAAGACAGCGTCCCGGCTTCTCCCCTTTGCCCCAGCCAGCGGTGCCCTTGCCAACCCCGCTGCGGGCACGCGGGGCGCAGTGTGGCCCGCGGGGTTGGGCGGCCGGCACCGCCCCCCCGGGGCGGGC